CTATGCCTTAAAACCCAGACTCTTAAAACCTTGCTGTTGATCCTGTCTGTTAATGGCTAGAACCAGCTGCTCGTGGGTTTGTTGAATGCTTTATCTGTATTTGGTCATAAATGCAAATGTTGGTATAAGGTAATATAATTGTATCAAGCAGAGTGGAGTGAATGAGCAAATGAAATGGCTTTGGTGTTAGGAGAGTACTTGCCTATGTTGCCAGGTACTCTCTATTGTTAAAAAGAAGCCCCAAATACAGGCTCTTTAATTAAAATTAAAAACTCTGGGGCCCAAGTGAAACATGTCCACGTGCCATTTTTTTTTTCAGGGAAGGGTTTATATCTGTTTCATTCACTGCTGTATTCCTAGGCTACCAAATGAATTCAGCCTGCAGGCCTCAGATTTGCAACTTCTGATTTGTAGTAATCGTCTGGGAAAAGCAATGCTATCCTAAAGACTCAAAGAATAGGTAGTATTACTTTATGCTGTCATTTTACAGAAAGGTTATCAGGAAGTTAAAAATCTTATTGTAAGTTTGTTGTTAGTCCAGGGTTTAGTCATTGTGACTTTTGTTAATGCTCTGGTTTTCCTTTTACTGACTGCATATTGTAGTTTAGTATTTTTTCATTTCTTGTTGAATATCCGTATCATAATGTATAAGGGAAGTCATAAAGATTGTTGTGATAATGACATTTCTGATGGCATTAGGATTGCCTAATGTCTGGGAAGTTCACAGATGTAAAAAGGAATGGAACTTCCTTTTTAATTTGTAATGGAATTCCCCCATCTTAAATGATAGTACATTCTTATTATAAACATACATTCTGGATTTTTTCATAATTGGAATTATATTAGCTCTATATGACATTTTAAAAACGAGTAACACTAAATATTGACACAGGAGCTGAGAACTATGTTTAGAAATAAATTCTTTGTTAAATGAAAGCTGTGATGTGTTCATAACTGTATTCACATCTTTAGAAATATAATTTAGAAGAATTAGTTGCAGTGAATTTAAGCAATTATGTGTAGTAACTCCCCTACCTTTTGAAATATTGAACTGTGATTTTCTTAGTTTCAGAAATTTGTCCCAAAGCTGTATTTTTTCATTTCAACATGGGTGATACAATAATTTGCCTTTGAGTTGGGGGAACTGCATTCCCACTGACTTTTCTATATTTAACAGCTGTATAACCTTTGAACATTTAAACATTTTGGACTTGATTTGGTTATCTATGAAGTAAAGGTGGTAACAACCTCAGAGAGTTGCTGTGATGATGTTGAAATAAGCACCTTGTACAGTACTCCCTGGACATAAGCCTTACTAAAGTTAGTGCCACCCCCTATACAGTTGTTAGGTGCACCAGGGAACCCCAGACCCAATTACCTCATGCTCCAAATGAGACTTCTTCTGTTTATTTTCTAATTGTCTCTTTTTCTACTTAATCTGTCATCCCACTCATACCCTATATGTCTTTTCTCAAATTACAAATGCTCAGAATATGTATTTAACACTTAGGCCAAACCTTTCTGTCTTCACCTCTCTGCCACTGCTTTATAAATACTGTTCACGTTCTGAAATTGTACTTTCCATTCTATTTCCAGTCAAAAGAAAAGTGATGCCATTCCTTGGCTCACTGCTTCTAAAACGTTGTTAGGTTGGGTATTCCTGTTCATTCAGTGCATGAACTCGATCCTTTTGCTCTGAGTCAGCTGTTTCACACACCAAGCACTGTATCAGAGATTATATAAATTTCTATGATATCCCTTCAGTAGGTGCTAAAAGATTATATTTTATTATAATACATTATTTTCCATTTGCTCCTAGGTGTTTAGAACTTCAGTTATAAAAATGGGCAGAATTTTCCTTGATCATATTGGTGGTACCCGACTGTTTTCTTGTGCAAACTGTGATACAATCCTGACAAACCGCTCAGAACTTATCTCCACTCGGTTCACAGGAGCCACTGGCAGAGCGTTTCTTTTTAACAAGGTTGGTGAAAAAAAGTTTCATTCCTAAATTTAAGTGAATATATTTGACAACAACACCATTATACCTTCTCAGATCTTAGAGAAATCAGTAAGTCAGTCAGAATGAAAGCTGAAATCTTTAGATAAGTGATTGCCTACTAGCTTGTCTTTGAAGTCTCATGAAGGTATTACTAGAATGTGATTTTTAATCTTGAGTGGTTAAAGAACATGTTGTCAGAAGCATAGCCTCCATTGACTCAGAAAATGTTCAGTGTAAGAATTTTATAGTGATTTCAGCACAGACAATGGAAGGAGTCAAGACAACCACCTCCCTTCCCTGCACATCAATAATGTATCCATATAGGATGATAGCTGCATTAAACTACCGTAACTTCACAGTGTGAAAGAGTCATCTAAGCAGTTTGTCTTGGTCTAATTCAGTTTTACCAATTCTTTTTAAATTTTGATTTATTTTTACTGACCACTCATTCATAAGTCATCACGAATCCTTTTGATTATGATTTGGCTATTACACGTTTGCCAGCAGGAGCATTTTCTGAGTTGCAAGTATGCCCAGTCTGCCTGGTTTTCTAATTTCTGGCTTGCTTTGAAATGAGTCGATGGGGGCCGGGAGTGGTGGCTCATGGCCTGTAATCCCAGTACTTGGGAGGCCAAGACGGGTGGATTGCCTGAGCTCACAGGTTTTGAAACTAGCCTGAGCAAGAGCAAGACCCCATTTCAAAAAAATAGCCAGGCATTGTGGCCAGTGCCTGTAGTCCCAGCTACTTGGGAGGCTGAGTAAAGAGAATCACATAAACCATTTGAGGTTGCTGTGATCTGTGATGCCACGGCACTCTACCAAGGACAACAAAGTGAGATACTGTCTCACAAAAAAAAAAAAAAAAAAAGAAATGGCTTGATGGGTTTATGCCTCCTGGAGTTTAATACATGATATAATAGCAAAGCTGAATTGCCAAATCTCTTAGGCTAGGGAACATGTCTAGTCTGGCACTGTTCTTACTCAGAAGGTCGGATAAACTTCTCTAGTACTCTCTTCTGTTTCAAATACAGAACAAGCTTTTCTCTTAGAGAATTGCTATTATATTCCCCTTGACCTTTTTTTAGGTAAAGTGCAGGGATTGTCAGACTATAGCAAGCCAGCTGCCTGTTTTCGTGAATAGGTGAATCATTATGAAAGTTTAAGATGTGCAAAAATAAACATAAAATCCAGTAGGATGAAAACAAATGAAGCCCTTAGCAACACTGATAAGCTGAGCAAGTTTAAACTTGTATTGGTGAATCAGAAAGGACATCGTCAACTTTGTTTCTTGGATGTGAAATAATGGACCATAATTGTCTATCTCAAACCTTTTTTAGTGACCCCTGTAAAATTCAATGGAACACAGCCATGTTATTCATCAACATACTTTGCCTGGCTGCTTTCATGCTACAACACCTACAGTTAAATAATTGCAACAAAGACCATATAGTCTTCAAAGTCAAAAGTATTTACTACCAGTCTCTATAGAAAAGTAAAATGTGTAGAGGATTGTTGGGTATTCAGTATCATTAGAAATTCTTCATAGATTATCTTAGGACCTACTTCATTTGTTCAGTGTCTTTAAACTCACTTATAAGCTGTGCATTACAGTGTATTGTCTGTAGTAGGCTTAGTCTATCCCAGTCTGTACATAAAATGTATTTTCAGGAACAAATAGACAAACTCTTTTAGGGAATACATATGGTGTGCTGAGTTCTTTTACATTGACTGTCTCATCAACAAATAGTGAACAGTAACAGGTAAACCTAAACCTGCATGTCATGACTTCCATTTTGGTACTTTTTCTTTACTACAACACATAACGTACACAGTGTGTATACACAGTGTGAGTTGGGCTATAGTATAGCACTGTGTGATTGCATTAGCTATCCACTACAGTACAACTTTCAGATGTTTGCCTGTCCCAGAAACTTCTAAAAATAGCTCTTGGAAAAGGTATTATAGCCTTGACTAATAACTTTACTGTTTCCTTTTCTGAGTTGCTGTTAACTGTATCAACCATAATAGTGTATATTTATTTTGCAAATAACTTATGTGCAATTTTCTTTTTACATATTTCTTAGGTAGTTAACCTGCAATACAGTGAAGTTCAAGATCGGGTCATGCTCACTGGCCGCCACATGGTTCGAGATGTGAGCTGCAAAAACTGCAATAGCAAACTGGGATGGATCTATGAGTTTGCCACTGAAGACAGCCAGCGTTATAAGGAAGGCCGTGTGATCCTGGAACGCGCTCTAGTTCGAGAGAGTGAGGGCTTTGAGGAGCATGTACCATCTGATAACTCTTGAAGAAAAAGAGAGAAATCCGTCTTTTCCCAGGTCTCCTTCACTGAAAACAAAAATCTACTTACATACACTGTCACCTTAGCATCAGAGTCGGATTCATGAACTGCGGAACAAGAGGTTGTGAGAATCTAAGATGGAACCTTTCTTTCTTTCTTTTTTTTTTTAAATTTTGTATTTTCCATCCAACAGCAGTGTGTAGAGAGAATATTATGCAGATGCCGTTAATTTTTTTCCCTATGTTTACATCTTGAGGCAGAAGAGTCTGCAGCTATGTGGTGGGCTATGTAAGGAAAAATATCTGGGCTATTAGAGTGAAAAAGTGTGTTTTATGTAAATTTTGAAAGGAAAATGTCAAAAGCATGGTTTTTAAACTTGGGCTTCATTTTAAAACTTTTTTTTAAAACCCAGTTATTTCACTTGATTTGCTAGCTTCAGAGAAGAGATCCGAATCTGTGCCCAGCGCTAAAGGCTCAGTGTTAGCATGGCTTGTGCTGGCCAGCGTGCCATATTCTTGTTGGAGATGAACCGTAGCACCAGAGCCCATTCTTCCTTGTCAGTCTTGACCCAAAGATGTCACCATTCCTAGTTATTTGTCACCACATAATTGGTGTTGATTGGAAACTATTCTGAAATGGGCAGAATTGCTTGGTTGTCTTTTTTCCATGTAACTTAAGCATAGTAATATAAATAAAGTAATAGTTGGACGTTTTTGGTCTTGTCTTGTTTTCAGAAATACCTTAGAGCAGAGTATCTCATAAGCAGTTTTCATAGTAGTGAAGTGTTTGTTTTCATCTCTAAGCTAAATTGACTATATAATATTCTTTGTTTAAATGAAAGCAGATTATTTAAATCCACAGTATTGCATTTCGAAAACAGATAAACAGAATGTGCATCCATGCAGAAAGCATTTAATCTGCATCTGTTTGGGGAGGTAGTTGAAGCAGCTTATCTAAAAATACTGCTTAACAAAGCATTTGAGCCTTTTCCCCTCAGTTTTGCATTTTTGACAAGTATATAGCGCCAAATAGTTTGATCAAACAACCAGATCTCTAATTAGCATTGTTTTTTCAATTTTTCTCTCAGAAGTTCAGCTATTAAAAATCAAGTGTTTTTAATACCCTCAACTGGAAAGCGATCAAATTTGACTTCAGCATCAAATTTATGACACTATGAAGTAATAAAATGTAAATATTTCTTTATCCAAACTACTGCATATTCTAGTATGTGCATCTTTGCTTCTGGTGGAATAACTGACAGTTAAATCGGCTAATTATTTAAATGAAAGAATGCATGCTTGCATGCTCAATTTCAGGTCTTTTGTCTAGAAAGGAAATTTGTCCTAAGTTGAATTGTTCATCTTTTTATCCTTGATAGTAGAAATGACTTCTGAGTGCAGTTAAGTTCCTCCTATTTGCCTTTGGGCTCTTGGTTAGAGACATTTTATCTGATGAAGTAGATATATTCCATTTGAAATAAGTGGGCATAAATTCTTCCCTGTCCTTCCACCACAGACTAAATCTCAGAAACTGCATTCATTTCATTCATTTCCACAGTGCCCTTTGACGATATGCAGATTCCTAATAGCATGCCTATCAACAACACTTTGTGCAATGTTGTCACAATAAAGTGTATTTTGTCCTGCGTTGGTGCAATACTGCTACTTATTTTCCACTGATCTTATCTAGCTATCATCTTAATTTTTATTATCTCTTAAACACAACTTACTGATACTTTTGAGTGGTGTTAGCTTTCTTCACTTGGCAGTGATAATGACATTTTGACTTCGTTATCGCCCTAATTTACATGTGAAGACACTGAATTTACTGATGTTGATTTCTCTGAGATCACTTTGCCCTAGACACAACTGTAGTTTATGATATATGCACAAATAAGTGTCATTGGGAGGTTAACTTTTAAGTGATTAGTAGACACAGTAATGAACTAACTATACTTGCCCTTTTAAAAACTATTTAATTTGGTGAAGCCCATAGCTCAGCGGGTAGGGCACTGGCCACATACACCTCGGCTGGTGGATTCGAACCTAGCCCGGGCCAGCTAAAACAATGACAGTTGCAGCAGCAACAACAACAACAAAAATAGCCAGGCATTGTAGCAGGCGCCTGTAGTCCCAGCTGCTTGGGAGACTGAGGCAAGAGAATCGCTTAAGCCCAAGAGTTCGAGGTTGCTGTGAGCTGTGAAGGCACAGCACTCTACCCAAGGGAACAGCTTGAGATTCTGTCTCAAAAAAAAAGTTAAATTTAATTTGAAAAAAAATCAATATTGGAAGACCTTTCAGATTGGATTTATAGACACATGCAGGAGAATACTCTGGGTTAAAAATGTTAGTAATTATGTAATGATTTGTTACAGTTGGGATTGGAAGGAAAAAGTATCAGTACCATCTGTTTCCTTAATTTACCTATTCATAGTCTATAGGTAATTTTTGGTGGTACAGAATTAAGAAACCACCGATTGGAAAGTATTTAGCGTTTTGCTTAGAGTTCATTTCCAAAAGTTATATAAAAATATCTCAATTTATCTGTTGTTTGTTGGAGACAGTCTCCTTCTGTTACCCTGAGGGTTGAGTGTGGTAGCATCACCTTAGCACACAGCAACATCAAACTCTTAGGCTCAAGTGTTCCTCTTTGCCTCAGCCTCCTGAGTAGCTGGGACTGCAGGTGCTGGCCACACACCTGGCTAGTTTTTCTATTTTTAATAGAGATAGGGTCTTGCTCAGGCTGGTCTTGGATTCCTGAGCTCCTGCGATCTACCCTCCTTGGCCTGCCAGAGTGCTAGGATTACAGGCATGAGCCACTGCACCAAGCCAAAAAAATTTGCGATTTAAACAGACACTAATTGCTTGTCTTTTTAACAACTTCTTGCTAATGGCTATATAAAAATGTTCTAGGTAAAGTGTTAATTGGAAATAAAGCAAGAATAAACTTTAAAAAAACTCCTGTTAGGCTGGCACTTTGCACTGATAGCTACTGTATGAATAAAGCGAAGCATAGACACTAAGGTGTATACTCATCCCTAAATTGGATGTTAATTCTAAGACATTTGGCTTCATTCCCAAATTAAAACCTATGTAGTAAAATATAAAATATCCATTCCAAAGCACTGTTAAGGGTTGTGATCTTGGACGTCATTTTACATATTAAGCTTGTTCAAGTCATTTACAACATGAACACCTGGGAGAATTGTTAAACATGTGAATTGTATTCGTATGGTGGGTGTCTGAGATGAGGCAAAAGAAAATACACCTTTTTTTACCAAACTCCCAAAGTAGTAACATGTCTTATTCTAATGTGAGAATTACCATGCAAAGGTTTATTCAGAATTAATAGTTGTGGTATGTTACCACTTGGCTAAAAGCACATACTTGTCACAAGAGGCTTATAAGCTGAGAAATACAGAGAAATGGGGAAAAAAGGTTAATTTGTCTTTCCACCTATGGAAATTCACCATTTATTAATGGTGAATCTTAAAATGGATAAATAACAGCATATAACCTGGCTTTGGAAGAGTCTCCAGGAAAGAGGCATCTAGTTTCCAGAAAAATTACCAGGTATAAAATCTAAAGGCCTGCCTTCAATGCCAACTCTGGCTATGACTTTGGGAAGACGCTTAACCTCTGAACCTTAGTTTTCTTAAATATGAATTATAAAAACAAGCCTTGTCTTCAATGATTGAATATTGTGAAATAAAGAGCATAAAAACCTGTTGATAAGTATTATACAAATATATGGAATACTCAGTAATCTAGAACCCTCCACAATTTAACCTAATTTTGCTCTAAATTTTGGAATGACTTGAATGTTTTCCAATTTTTAAAAATTCTTCCTAGACTTGTACTGCTAAACCTTTTTAGCAAATTAGGGTTTGAAATCTGTAGTTTATCAAATGCTGTTTTGAAAATCAGGTGTGATGGTACACATCTGCAGTCTCAGCTACTCAGGAAGCTGATACAGGAAGATTGCTAGGAGTTAGAGACCTGTTTCCAGAAAATTAAAAAAAATAAAAGTTTGTTCTGTTTCACACTTAGGAGGCTAAAGTGGGAGAATTACTTTAAGGCCAGGAATTTGAGACCAGCCAGGGTGATACAGTGAGACCCCATTTTAAAAGAAAGTTATTACCTTGTCCTTTCACTATAAGGAATCTTTCACAGTCTCCTGTAAGAGGCATTTTATATAGCTTTCAAAAACCTTCAAAGCTCCTGCCTGTTTTTCTATGACCCTGGGGCAGAAGGAAGAAAGGTGTAAAAGGTTCATTGAAGGCAACCTCAATGGTAAATAAAAAGCCACCATTTTTTCCTCCAAACAAGGTAACTTTTTAGAAGAATCTGGAAGAATTTCCACTGATAGTAGCTATCTAGTTACTTTTCAAACCCAGTTTTCTTTATCCTGTGTTTGTCCCAATGGATTTCATATACTGCCGTAATGATGTTGGTCCAGTTTTTAAAGGATCCTAAGGTGGTAATTTAGAGAGGTGGTTTATATATCAAGTCATCTAATCGTCTGAGTTTTCCTAAAGATGAACAAGCTATGTCTTTGCTTTGAATTAAAGCAAAATGCAAAGACGAATTCCATCTGGTAATTAAAAAAAACAAAAAACAGTGTCCAGAGCAAATTCGAAAGCTCATCTTTGCAAAAGGTAGTATTTGTGTCCCTAAGGACCCACCAGCAAGGTTTTCAGGGACTTGTACAGTTTGAGAAATCCCACCAGAATGCCCCTGAGTCAGGAGGTTAGCTTTAGCTGTTCCCGAGAATTTCACTCCTCTCCATAGAGTGAGCTGTCAGCATCTGGCCACCACCTTCTCAGCTAACTCACTCTACCCCTATCCCTCCTACAAAATACTAGGCAAAGCAGAGACACTACTGTGAACTCATGAAAATTCCACAAGTGTTCTCTGTCCCAAGGTATGCCATCTCCCTTCCCTTACGTTCCAAGTCAAGGAAGGAGCTCAGAGCATTTCTGAAATCCACCAACATGCCAAAAAAGGAATAAAAAATACTTAGTTTCCTTTCTAAGTGAGTCTTAAGGTCCTGTGTTACAGTAGGTTCTTTAGAACAACAGAAAGTGAGTTTCAAAGGTAGGGAGGGAGAGAGCATTTTAGGAACTTGTCAGAGTATACAAATGATGAAATTTACATTGAAGAAAAAATGTTTTAATAATATAAAATCAGCTGGAAACTAAGCTATCAGAAAAGTACCAGTAGATGGCATGGATGTGCAAGAAATTCCATTCTTATCTGCCAAGCTGAACTGTCTTGGAAAAATGCAACCTTGGGACAGCCTGTTCTTGTTGCTGTTTGTTAGTCCCTAACCATAGAGAGCAGATGCTACCATGAAGGACTGTTTCACTCCAATGGCAGGAGTCATAGGAGCCAATAAAACATGGGAAAAAATGTTTTAAAAACTATCAATTGCTGTTCAAATGTATCCCACTTTGTGATAAAATTTTTTTTCTGCCGTATTTTAGTATCCAAAGCTTTAGCTTATACAACTTCAAAGTATATAAGTCCTTTGTTTTTGAAACTATTTTTTAATACTGGCTTTCACTTTGATACTGGTAACCTGAGGTCACAAAGGATTGAGCATCAGAGTATGACTTTTAAGTTAGCCTCTTGAAGCCTAATTTCCTCAGCTTTAAAATAGGGAAACTAATCTCTAGACTAGAAAAAATGAAGACTGTAAGCCCTTTGGCATC